TGTATATATTTATAATGTGTGTGCGTTCATGCGTGTGTGTAAACCAACTACCCATTTGAAAAAACTATGCTTTCTAGTTTTATTTTGCTTATAAATATAGTTTCTTCAAATGATTGGGGTGTCCTTAGTGGAGGCCGAAGATTCATCTTTGGCAGCCAAGGCCAGCAATGGCCACACCCTGGAATTATGCGTTGCCTCCCACAAGCAAATAAATTAATTAATAAATCTACCTCCATTCTTATACACAGTGCAACTCCTACCCACTTAAAAATCTTGCGAAAAACACATTAATGTTTACATATATCTCCTGTTCAATTACAGTCCAGAAAAACACTCATCTCGAAACTAGAAACATTTACTTTTCAAATCGTTCAGCGATGGGTTGTATCAGCATACCACTTCTTTATTCATAGTCACCCCCTCTTGATTTGGTGATGATGCTTCACCTTCCTCTTGCAGTCCAAACCCATTCAGTAAGTCATGGAGACATTTAACTCTGAACTGCCCTTAGGTCTGAGTTTGAGTGATTTAGTGCCTCTGTCTTCCCACTCAAAGAGTATTTTCCCCACTCCGTTGGAGTCCTGCCCTCTGCACACTGTCATACTGTGGCCTCCAGCCTTCAGGAAACACTGACGACCAATGAAGCAAGCAGGGAGATCAAAATGGTGAGTAAAATTCTCATTAGTAAACTAGGCACTGCTGTTTGGCTAAAGTGTCATGAATCAAAGCAGTGTGTCTGCATTTATCTATATTACTGAGCCATCCTTGACTGTTAAATTCAGTGTGCAGCAGCTCCAGAGAGACTGCAGTGGGGCCACTTAAAGCAGCTGTAACAAGAAGTATACAAATAATAAGTAAACAGAATTGTCTCCGTTGTGTTGTTGTTGAAAGGATTCATAATGAAAGCAAAGATTTCTGACACCCACTATAATAGGTGATGCACCCTTTAATAAACAAAATAGAAAAGTTCTTTATTACACATGAACTGTAAGTGACTGAGACAAGACAAAAGTCATAATTACACACATCTACAGCCTTGTTGCCTGTTTCCCCATTGTGACAATGTCCTTTATTAGCTGTATGAATACAAATGACAACAAACTGAAACACTTAAAGCCAAGAAGTGATCTTGTTTATGCTTTTACAAGTGCACATCTCATTTTATAATGATTTTTATTCTGCAGGAAACACAACATAGACTGCTGGCTGATCCCACAGAAACACACAAAATAAAGTCAACCTCTGGTTACACTTTGTTGCAGGGGTACAGGCACATTTTGTGCCACCATGACATTTAGGTTAGTTCTAAATCTCAGTTGTATCATTAAACAGTTATAGCCATTAAAATAATTTAAAATCTCAAACACCCAGGAGGAATAGTCCGATTTATGCATAATTTAGTTTATATGCAGACAATCGATTGGTTTGTAAATAATTTATCTGGAAAGAAGCTGGCAGATCTAGAACAAGTATAACAGGGTTAATGTGGTATATTATTCCATTTGTCATCACTTTTCATCTGGGTCTTATGTAAATAGTTGAGTCCCAGTTGAAGTGCTTCCTGGAGGATCACGCCATCATTCCAATCTGGCTTTAAACCTCTCCACAGCACTGAAACTGCCCTATTGAAGGATTTTAATGACATCTTCATATCCACAGATACTGGCGATTTTGTGCTGCTTTTCCTATTAGACCTCACAGCCGCCTTTGACACCATTGACCATGAGATCCTCATTGCTAGGTTAGAGCAGTGGGTGGGCATCACAGGGTCAGCCCTCAATTGGTTCAGATCCTACCTCGCTGACAGATCCTTTTGTGTCTCCATCAAGGATTTTAGTTCTGCAGCGACAGAGCTTAAATGAGGGGTTCCACAGGGGTCCATCCTGGGTCCCCTCCTATTCTCTCTATACCTGCTGCCACTTGGTGCTATTTTCCAGAAACACAACATGCCCTTCCACTTCTACGCCGACAACTGTCAAATTTACTTCCCCCTAAGACACAATGGTACATGCTCTATACAACCTATGCTTGACTGCCTGGCTGATATCAGGGATTTGATGACTTTAAACTTCTTAAGTTTCAATGAAAAGAAGTCTGAAGTCATGTTGTTCCCTCCCAATGACACATTCACAAACCACTTCATTGACCTTTCCACTCTATCCCTGTC